TTGTTTGCTGGGCACCACCAAGACAACCAGCGCTGAAATGATGACATGCGGCTATACATGTCATCATTGATCAGATTGGGGAGGGGACCAGAGAAGATTACGGTGTCCGACATTGTTTTAGCATAACTACACAACGACTCCACATTAAGTTTGGTGCATTCTGATTGGCGTAAACAAACATCATTACCACCGACGTGAATAACAATCCTACTGTATTTACGTTTATTTTTAGCCAGCAGTTTAAGATGCGCCTCAACGTCGCCCGCTTCGGTCTCTATTCACGTGTCTCATAATAGAGCTACCAATAACCAGAGTTGACTTCTCAGCGGGTGTCTCGCTGAGTGGGGAATATCTGTTAGATACGTGAACGGGTTGGTGGGGACCTGCGGGTTTCGCGTTATGCCCCTTCTGAACATTCACCCAGTCTCCCTGCTGCTCGGCTCACATGGGCTTTACTGTAGCGGAGTTACTTTCTAAGATGCGGAGCAGGGCTTCTATGGCTATGATTCCCGCCTCCAACTATACTACATTTAACACATGTATTGGTACCAGTAAAGGAGGTAGGGAAGTAACCAAACATGAGACAGTGAGAGCAAGAAATACCACCCGAGGGTGGGGAAAGAGCCATGGCTAGCTATCAAGCTAAAGTAGCTACCGTTAGCAAACCCGAAAAGAGTGTAGGCAACTGTGGAGTTACAGTCGCTAAGAGAAGGAGAGTTGTGAGTGCTTAAGCTGTAGTAACGTGTGATTACAATGTCAGGCAGTTGCCGTGATCAAGAGTTTTAAAACGATCGATTAAGTTAAGATAATAAGCTATCAGCAACAGAACAGGCACACGGGATACCAGGAGATGACAACAACAACAACCGGAAGTTACAACATGCTTACCGCAATAGTGGTCCGTGATGATCACTTCACCACCTAATTTCTAACACCAGTCAAAAAATAAAATAATGTGTCGTAAAACTGTGAAGTAACACATTTTTTTGTGTGAAACGGTCAATGAACTACATCTCTGGTCTTGCACAACAACACACGTGGACCGTCACTACTGTCTTGCTAAACAAGGGATTGACTACCCTTACTATCACCACAACGAAACACGTCCAGAAGAATGTCATGCAAAGCTGCCTACCTGCCTTCCTTTGATTCTCTCTGAACGGCCTGGTCTTTTTAATGTTTAATGTCAACCATGTGTGCAGATAGCATGAAGTACAAAAGAATGCAGATGCTAATGTAGCGTTAGCATTTCTCCCCCGGGCTTAAATGGTGTATTATAGAATGATCACACCGGCGTGACAGTACTCTTCAAAGGGTTCACGAAATATGACTACGACTCTTACCGTTTAACATTTTGGGTTACTCAATGTTACTTCATGTTAAGGCTAATCAAAATGACAAGGCTAAGCCGGCTGTAATGCTAACTAACGTGCTTGCTACTAGCTAGGTAGCTAACTTGATCCAGCCACTCCTGGTCCTTTCATCAGACGGGAAGCGAAAGAACGAGCAAGACCCATTGCTGGTATGATAACAACCTGGTACTAAGCACACAGGCATCTTGTTAAAGTTATCTTATCTTAGCTATCTCTATTTTAGTGGAGGAAAACAATTGTGACTACAGTTAATTTATGAGTGACATCCATGGGCGTCGCAGCCATTATATGAGGGATTAGTTTAGACCCCCCCACTTTTACCATGTAGAAAGTCCGTGAATCGATCTCTCCACTCGCCGCACTTTTTAGAGCGATGTGTCAGTGCTTCACTATCAAATCCATTCCACTTGCTTATTGAGAGAATGCCCAAATCAATGAAACTCCGTACCATGTTTTCACTGCTACTTGTTACCAAGGCAGATTCTCACATAGCGCGCGCATGTTCAAGGAGTGTTGTCATAGTTGGACAGCTCAGACCTGTTGTATGAAGCGATGCCGGGTAGCGGAGGTAAGGCAGTAAAGGCACACACACCAAATGTTCAGGGACATTGTTAATACAGCGAAAATCAAAGCTGACGATCTCTTGGTTTGATATGTTTTTCTCCCCCAGACAACATGGACATAAGAACATTTTCTTCAAAGAAGAGGAAAGTAAGTCTTCAGCTGGTAGCAGTTAATCTCTGACCCAAATCATGTTCTGAACAGTGAATATGAACTGCTACCATCTAATCGGAGATACAGGGTCCCACGATTCAATAAAGTCAGACTGAAGCACTCCTTTGTGCATCAGTCAATCCTCACAGTAAATACAGAGCTAAATCCCAGATCAAATGCACTGATTGTGCTGTTATGTTAAATGTTTGTTGTTTGTGTTTCATGTATTGTGTCTGGATATTTGTCTGTTGATGTTGGACATGGAGCTGCTGTGACGCAAGTCAAATTTCAGACTTGGTCTGACAAATAAAGTGAAGCATGAAGTACAAAAGAATGCAGATGCTAATGTAGCGTTAGCATTTCTACCCCGGGCTTAAATGGTGTATTATAGAATGATCACACCGGCGTGACAGTACTCTTCAAAGGGTTCACGAAATATGACTACGACTCTTACCGTTTAACATTTTGGGTTACTCAATGTTACTTCATGTTAAGGCTAATAAAAATGACAAGGCTAAGCCGGCTGTAATGCTAACTAACGTGCTTGCTACTAGCTAGGTAGCTAACTTGATCCAGCCACTCCTGGTCCTTTCATCAGACGGGAAGCGAAAGAACGAGCAAGACCCATTGCTGGTATGATAACAACCTGGTACTAAGCACACAGTCATCTTGTTAAAGTTATCTTATCTATCTCTTATATTTAGTGGAGGAAAACAATTGTGACATCAGTTACGCGACTCTGGGATTGTAGTCTTTCTAGTTGCGTATTTTTTCATAGTCTTATATTTCAACAGTTTTTACGAAAAACCTGTGACTTTTTTGACAGGAAATGATTTTTTAAGATTGACAAACATCATATGTGTAATTCGTGGCACAATTCAAACGGGATCGAAAGATACGTTTTCTCTCTCCATTGACTTCAATACATAGTTTTTTCCGAAAATAAGTCCCATGGACCGGAAGTAGATGGGTGTGACTTCGCCACTCTATATACAAATGAACGGGACATGGTTCGCTCACCGATCCAGACCAAAGCAACTGTATGGAATGCCATTTAAGCCAAATTAAATAAATACATAATAATTAAATAAATACATATATATATCTATATATATAATATGCCTATGAAATACATTCTGAAATAAATAAATTAGGCAATACATATGTATACATGTACATTTAAATACACATTTATTTATTTTATGGGACTTTTATTTCATAATGACACATTTATTTATTTCAAGAGACTTTTATTTCATAAATGACACATTTATTTATTTCAAGAGACTCGTATTTCATAATGACACATTTATTTATTTCAGATGACTCGTATTTCATAATGACATATTTATTTATTTCAGATGACTTGTATTTCATAATGACACATTTATTTATTTCAGATGACTCGTATTTCATAATGGCGCATTTATTTATTTCATGTGACTTGTATTTCATGATGAGACATTTCCATTCCTTATATGCAAATGAACGGGGCGTGGTTAGCTCACAGATCCAGACCAAAGCACAAGCACCACAACACTGACTCATAGCTTTTGTTTCACAATCCAGTACTCTTAAGTGGTTTGCAAACTGCCAATAAACCAAACCGGTTCAAGAACCATTCTTGTGCTTTTCTGGTGCATAACTGGTTCTTCTCTGGTCTTATCTGGTCCGCCCAATGCTGCTCTTCTGAGAGCAACCGCTCTGACAGCTCTCTCTAGTCTCTACTGGGAAACAGCTAAAAGTCCTTCTGGAGGTAAGCAACGCTACACAATTACACCCAGTCTGAGAATACAATATGTCTCGAAGGTTATTTTTGCTTTCTTACAACGTTAAGTTAATGTTAACCAACGTAACCTTACGTTTGCTAGGAGGCTATTGTTACGAGCTAGCTGTCTTAGCTAACAACAGTTAGCAGCTAACGTTTTCTGCAGTTGTGTTGCCCCTGAAAAAACGTGATGTAGTTATTTAAGGGTATGTTAAATTAACGTTATTTTACAAGTTGAGAGAGTTAAGTTTGTGTTTAAACTACGTCAATGTAATGCACGTTAGATGTTTTTAGTTGGACATGAAGTTAGCTAACGTTAGCTAACTCTACCAGTTAGCATGTTAAGCTGTACTTTTCTGTGGCAGCTAGGCTTAATACAAAGAGGGTTTTGTGCTTCATTGCAATGCAAAACTTTTCTTTGTTAATCTACCTGAAATTGTAGGGACAGTTAGTTTCTACTCAACTATACAGACCATTATTGAGGATGTGCAAAACATACTGTACATGAGTTGGGTCCAACATATACCTTGAGTAATGTTACTTTGCTGCTAAAATGAAACATCATTATCAGATGAGGACATCACCAAAGTGTGTGAGCCTGTCAGGGGATTTGATCTGTGCTCTGCATGTCCTAAACACTGCTCTGGTATTACTTATCTGTAACATGTAAGTCTCGTCGCTCTTGTCATCTTCAGTCAGCTTTGCATTTGAACTCCTATGACTGGTTGCGGACTTGAAGGGAACGCCTTCCTGACATCCAGGAAAAAGGTGAGATTAATACATTTGAATGCCAAAAGCAAGTTATTGTTTTTAACTTTTTAAATATGATTGTTTTGGGGCATTTCAGTTTTATTGGACAGGCAGTAGATATCTACTGGAAACAGTGGAGAGGGGAGATGATATGCAGCATACGGCCCAGTCGGATGGTTGCTGCTCCGTGTGGAACGTGTTCTATCAGGTAAAGCACTTTGGTACCCAGTTATTTATGGTATTGAGTTTGAATTTAGCTTTTGGAATGTAATTTCCAACAGTGCATTGTAAAGACTGAAAGATGTAAAGCTTGACATTATTTGGTCTTTTACTTAAGAAAATGTTTGTCCTCCTGTGTTGTCTTATTTCCTTATCTTTCTTTCAGGTGTAACATCTACCAATGGTTGTACATGACAGAGACCTCCTCCCCCTCTTTGCTGTCTTACTAGTCAATCCTTCTGATCAGGTCCTTTCCTAAATAGTGGTAAGTTTTACAGTTCAGTGTACGTTAATTTAGCAACTTAATGCTTTACCGCTGTTGAATAAATCCTATATTGCTAGTCATTTTATTAAAACTACGATTTGTAAACTTTTTGATTCCAATTACAATAATCTTTTTGTTATAATTGTAAAACATATCTTAACATCCATCAGCAATCAATACAACAAATCATCCAACACTAAATAGAAGAAATCTTGACCTATTTCTTTTGATACAGCAGCATGTTTTGGGACTGCTCATTGATGTCATCAAGAGCCATTGAGTCTACCTTTTGTAGTCGGCCTCTCAGAATGTTTATAATTTTTTGTATCTTAACATTCCTATAATAATTAGTTTTTTTATTGTTGATATTGTTTTGTTCTTTATTTTTGTTGTGAGAATCACTTTGCAATTGTGTAAGTGCTATATAAATAGTTATACTAATATTATTGTTGTTACCATCATTACTATTATTAATAATGTCTTCTTTGTTTTCTTTATTCATCGCTGCAGAAAGGATCATGCCAGCCCACATCAAACATCTGATCAAGAACTTGTGAACCTCACTGCTGCGGACACCTGTGTGATATTCCACTCTGACTGGAACCCTCAATATGACCTGCAGGTACGATATATATATCTGCTCTGTCTGTCCTAAAGATAGTTCAATAGGGCTACAACAACAACAGTCTTTCCGTTTATTCCCTCGTTTCTTTAAGTGTATATTTTCCCATTTAATGCTTAAAAACGTTGAACAGCAGCTGCACATGATGCTCTTTTGACCCCTCTTTTAATTTTTTATTTCAGGCTCAAGCTCGGTGTCATCGTTTTGGCCAGTCTAAGGCGGTGAAGGTGTACCGTCTGATCACTAGAAACTATGAGAGGGAAATGCTGGATAAAGCTAGTCTGAAGCTCGGGCTGGACCGTGCCGTCCTGCAGGGAACGAGTGGCAACAACAACGGGGTGAGAAAAAGAAAATCTGTCATATTTCTAGATGCCAAGTCATTTTGGGTCAGTCGCTGTTGCAGTACGCTTAGTTTATTTTCAAAAAGAGTTTTCTAAATCCACTTGTGTAAATGTCTCTCTGCGTCGCCTTTAGCCGGTCCAGCAGTTCTCCAAGAAGGAGATCGAGGACCTGCTGAGGAAAGGAGCCTACGCCGCCATCATGGACGAGAACGAAGGCAATCGCTTCTGCTAGGAAGACATCGACCAGATCCTGCAGCGAAGAGCCACCATCATCACCATCACCAGGTATGTTCTTAGCAGCACTAGCCACTTGCGCTTTGTGAGACACCAAGTACTTGGTTATTTGAAATGTAATATTGATGATGTAATAATTAAAACTAGGGATGGTACCAGACCCGTATTAAACGGGCCCCGGGGCTGAATTATTAAAGAGTGGTACCGTTAACGTCCAACGTTATCGATCTTTTTATCGGTACTGGAGAATTTTTTTTTACTTTGCATTTAGCTGACGCTTTTATCCAAAGCGACTTACAATAAGTTCGTTCGACCAACAAAATACAAACTTGAGGAAAACAGAATCATATAAGTACATCAGGCTTCATAGAGCAAAACATTTTAAGTGCTACTCAACTGGCTTTAGATAAGCCAGCCCTTTATCAGTATATAAGTGCTTTGTTAATAGTTCTATCGCTCGAAGTGGAGTCGAAAGAGATGAGTTTTCAGTCTGCACCGGATGGGTGTGTAAGCTATCTGCTGTCCTGATGTCAATGGGGAGCTCATTCCACCATTTTGGAGCCAGGATATCAAACCCACGTGTTTTTGCTGATGGGAACTTGGGTTCCCCTTCGCGCGAGGGTGCAGGAGCCGTTTGGTTGATGCAGAGCGGAGTGCATGTGCTGGGGTGTACGGTTTAACCATGTCCTGGATGTAGGAAGGGCCAGATCCATTCGCAGCATGGTAAGCAAGTACCATGTCTTGAAGTGGTTCTAGCAGTTACCGGAAGCCAGTGAAGGAGCGGAGGGAAGGAGCGGACGTGGTGTGTGGGAGAATTTAGGAAGGTTGAAGACCAGGCGAGCAGCTGCATTCTGGATGAGCTGCAGAGGTCGGATGGGCACATGCAGGTAGACCAGCCAGGAGGGAGTTGCAGTAGGTCTAGGCCAGTGGTCCCAACCTTTTTTGAGTACTGTGACCCCCAAAGCATTTCAAGCCAACCTAAAGTACCCCCTACTACGCAATCAATCGTGGTGATCCACCAGGATTATATTATAGTCTATATATATTGTGTGTGTGTGTGTATGTGTTGTGTGTGTGTGTGGATGTGTGTGTGTGTGTGGTGTGTGTGTGTGTGTGTGTGTGTGTGTGTGTGTGTGTGTGTGTGTGTGTGTGTGTGTGTGTGTGTGTGGTGTGTGTGTGTGGTGTGTGTGTGTGTGTTTGTGGTGTGTGTGTGTGCAGTGGCAGCACATATCAGACCCGGGCCGGGCGGGGCGGGGCCTGGATACGGCCCCTGTGTGTAGCTAAGGTGAAACCTGGGAGTGGAAGAAGGAGAGAAGTGACGAGGAGAGATAGAGAAGAGGAGGATATTTTTGTCTGTGTGACCCAATGCGACAATTAATGTGACACTTAAATCATATTCAATCATAACTAATCATATACATTATAATAGCCATTGTTTAAAGACTTTAAACAAAAAGTAAGGTAACTCACCAATTAATGTGACACTTTGAGCCTGTTTCTCCCTCATCAGTTTTGTGTGTCTGGGGGAGATTGTTGCAACAGCTGTGACCAGGTTATTCTCCAAGTTGAGTCTGTTCCTGTGTTTAGTCTTGATGTGGATCATGGCGGAGAATGTCACCTCACACAGGTATGTGGACCCAAAAGGCAACAGTTCATTCAGGGCATGTTTCCCCAATTCAGGATACTCCTTCTCCACACCACACCAGAACTGTGTCAGTGGTGTGCTTGAGTACCTCATCTTCAGGCTCCTATCTGAGGACACATCTATGAGGTCTTCTTGCAGTCTGGCGGGGAATGCTGCTTTTAATGCACGTCACAAATGGATTACGCACCCAGTCCAGTGTGGATGACTTGTTGTCAATATCAGGGAAGTAGGAGTTGAACTCATTCTTGAGCTTGGACAAATGTGTGTGTACTATTTTCACAATTGGAGCTCTGTCACATTCACCAGTAGCAATGTATGCGTTCAGCTGCAGGAAACAACTTGTATCCCCTTTTTTTACATGTGCTCTGCCAGAGCTTGATCTTCTCCATGAATCCACACACTTTGTCATACAAGCAAAGAACATGTGTGTCTTTACCTTGAAGAGAGAGATTCAGCTGGTTGAGTTTGCTGAAAATATCAGAGAGGTATCCCAGCCGAGCTACCCAGTCAGCGTCGTCGAACATAGCCACAAGTGGGTGTGTGTGCTCCGACAGAAATGCCCTCACTTCATTGCGTAGCTCGAACAGCCGCTGTAACGTCTTCCCTCGGGATAACCAGCGGACGTCAGTGTGAAGCAGGAGCTGTTTATGTTCTGACCCACCGTCTTCACAAGGTGACTGAAACAGTCTATGATTCAAAGGCCTGGACTGTATGAAGTTGATCACTTTTACGGCATCATTCAAAACATCGTTTAACTCTGGACTCATTCTCTTGCTAGCTAATGCTTCTCGGTGAATCATGCAGTGCGTCCATGTAACGTCAGGGTTTACCTTTTTTATGTGGGCTATTAATCAATTTACTCTGCCGGTCATCGCCGCAGCGCCGTCTGTGCACACATGAGAGCAGGATTTCCAATCCAGCTTGTGTTGAGAGAAAAAATTGTCAATAACGTTAAAAACGTCCTGTCCGGTAGTTCTCCCCGTGAGTTTCTTGCAAAACAGAATGTGCTCGTTTATCTCCAAAGTGTCTTTGTAACGCACAAACGCAATCAGTTGTGCTTCCCCACTGACATCCGTTGATTCGTCCAACTGCAAAGCGAACGTACCAGACGCTTTACATTTTTCCACCACTTGGTCATTGATGTCAATTCCCATGTCGTCGATCCGATGGCACACAGTATTATTTGACAACGGCACTTTCTTCAGGACATCAGCTGCTTTCTTATCGAGCATAGTTTCTGCGAGAAATATAGCAGCAGGCAAGATTAGCTCTTCGGCTATGGTAAATGGCTTTTTCGATTTAGCAACGAGTAGCGACACCAAGGCCTTGGTTGAGCCAGCTTTTGGTGGAAAAACTCTGCAGGCTTACCCACACAGGCGGGATGTCTAGTACTAAGGTGCCGATGTAAATGGGATGGTTTCATGCTATTATTAGAAAGCACGTCGCCACAGATGAAACACATTGGCTGCGGTGGCTCTGTAGTTGTGACCGTAAACCCGGAGAGCACATAATGTTCACCAAACTGACGATTCTTCACCTTCTCTGTTTTCATTTTCTTGAGAACGGGTTCTCCTGATTCAGCAGTATCACCTGTGCTGTTGTTTCTGGATGAACCAGCTCGACTCAGCCATTGATCCATAATGATTATCCATCCATCCATCCATCTTCTCCCGCTTATCCGTGGTCGGGTCACGGGGGTAGCAGTTCCAGCAGAGAGCCCCAAACTTTCTTTTCCCTGGCGACATCAACCAGCTCTGACTGGGGGATCCCAAGGCGCTCCCAGGCCAGCGAAGAGATATAATCCCTCCACCTGGTCCTAGGTCTACCCCTTGGTCTCTTCCCAGCTGGACGTGCCTGGAACACCTCCCTAGGGAGGCGCCCAGGTGGCATCCTAACTAGGTGCCCGAACCACCTCAACTGGCTCCTTTCGACGTGAAGGAGGAGCGGCTCAACTCCGAGTCCCTCCCTGATGACCTCTCACCTTATCCCTAAGGGAGACACCAGCCACCCTGCGGAGAAAACCCATCTCGGCCGCTTGTATCCGCATAATGATTATGTTAACAGAAATGTTGATCTCAATAAACACCAGCGCATTCACTTGATAGGATGTTGATATTTTGCTAGCTAGCAAGAAAACCAGCGCGCCACTACAATGATGATGATGATGTAACACCTGACAGTCCGGCGGGAAGCTGAACGCCGCGCCAATAATAATATATAGCCAGCAAATTATTACTTAATTTGAATGCCCCCAATTTTGGTTACATTATTACAGATTATGCATTATTCATTATTTGGGTACAGTTTTCCTGTAAAATGTTTAATAAAAAAAAATCTAAAATCTAATTTTTATTTTTTATTTTTTTAACTTTTCAAAATCTTTTCACGTACCCCCTGGGGACCACCCACGTACCACTAGGGGTACGCGTACCCCCGGTTGGGAAACACTGGTCTAGGTGTGAGATGACGAGAGCCTGGATCAGAACCTGCGTCGCTTTCTGGGTCAGCTGGGGACGCATCCTCCTGATGTTGTAAAGCGTGTATCTGCAGCAGCGGGTTGTAGCAGCGATGTTTGCAGTGAAGGACAGGTTGTTATCTAGGGTCACACCCAGATTCCTTGCAGTCTGAGTCGGGGAAACAACAGAGGTGCCAATGTTGATTGTTAGGTCAAGAGTGGGACAATCTTTTCCCGGGAGGAAGAGCAGCTCAGTCTTGTCAAGGTTGAGCTTGAGGTGATGATCAGACATCCACTGAGATATGTCAGCTAGACAAGCAGAGATGCGTGCGACGACCTGGGTCTCTGAGCGGGGAAAGGACAGAATTAATTGGGTGTCGTCAGCGTAGCAGTGGTATGAAAAACCATGCGGGCTAATGACTGATCCGAGCGAGTTTGTGTACAAGGAGAAGAGGAGGGGACCAAGAACAGAGCCCTGAGGGACCCCTGTAGTTAATTGACAAGGGTCGGACTCGGACCCTCTCCAAGTAACCCTGTAGGTGCGGTCTTTGAGGTATGAGGTGAGGAGGGAAAGTGCAGAGCCTGAAACTCCAAGTTCTTGGAGAGTGCGAAGGAGG